CCGTGAAGTGCCTTTGTACAATAAGTAAACGCTAATCATTAAAAATGAGGAAATGCAATAATGTATTGGCTAGTGTCTAGCCCAATGCCAGCTATACAGTAACTACTCAAAATCACAAACAAAACCACAGACTTGACTACTGTGTACGTTTAACATCTAAAGTTGACAAGCAAATATAGTCCATTATTTTCCACTTTCAAGCTCTATGATCATATTTTGTGCATGTGGGTGGAGGGGGGGATTACTTGTATATCTGCTGTCTTGTTTATTTATTGAGACAAAACTTCATGGTATTGCCCAGACTGGCTTTGACTCCTGCACAATGCCTGGCTTACCATCAGCTTTCCAGCATTTATGTGTCACTAAGAATTTTTGCTTTCATCTGACATTGCTTCAGGGAGTTGTCCCCGCCCTCTCCACTCCCACCTGTATTAGGGTTATGAATATGATAATAAAGGTGAAGAGTCTATTCTTGTGTTGGGATAATAATAACAATTTCTGCCTCACATGATTGCTGAATGTATTCAATGAGTAAATATATGTAAAACATGTAGAACACAGGAGGGAGACATGTTAGGTCTTAGGAAACGCACATTCATTTAAGATGTCAGGAAATAGGATTTGAGGCACGCCATCTGAATTCTTAGAGACTATGCAAAAATAACTTAAGACATAATTTTTACTTCAAAAACAGATCACAATGCCTTCCTATGACAGTTGTCTGATGGATATTCAAACATTTGGAATTGCGGTTCATGCTTCAAAAACACAAATAAAAGGGAATGTTGAGATTTTAGGGGTGTGTGTGGGGAGCGGGGAGTTATTCATTTGTACCCAAATCTGCACTAAACAAGTGTTTAAAAAAAAATCATTCTGGCCAGGCGGTGGTGACTCACGCCTGTAATCCTAGCTAGTCAGGAGGCTGAGATCGGAGGATCAAGGTTCAAAGCCAGCTTGGGCAGGAATGTCCATGAGACTCTTATCTCCAATGAACCACCAGAAAACCTGAAGTGGCGCTGTGGCTCAAGTGGTAGAGTGCTAGCCCTTGAGCAAAAGAAGCTCAGGGACAGCGCCCAGGTTCTGAGTTCAAGCCCCAGGACTGGTGCACCTAGGCACACACACACACACACACACACACACAAACACACACACACACACAATCATTCTGGGTCATTTCAAATTAAAATAATCATTGCACTATAATCAGAGAAATCATTCCTTTTAATATAACAACACCATGTTAGCCTTTGATTAATACTAAAGTAATAATGCAGCCAGGTTAATTCTATCCTGTAATTTCTGTAGTCTATTTCAAAATCCTTCCATTAACACATAGGAGGTCTTTTTAAATAGCCAATTGAAATGCAGTTGGCAACATCTATACATTTTCTTTCCTAAAATTAATAGTGCTTAGGTTATAAATTTACAGCATTTGGAAGGCAAGGTGAGTTGTAGCCAGAGCAGTTTAAATTTCCCAGTGGGCTGCTTTAAATGATAAAGGACTCCAGAAGTCACGTGGGCCAGCCCCCCACACTTTAGGAAGGAACTAAGGTCCCCAAATGCTGATACTCATAAAGCCAAGTCCACACACTAATTCTCCTGGATCTCAAATAAATAATCCTTACAGTTTTGCCATATCCAATTTAGCCAAGTAATCCCTAACAACTCAAAAGGGTATTTTTGGTTTTTGCCAAAAAAACGAATTCAAAAGCATCATTGTTTTCCAAAACACACACATAAAAACTGTATTCATTTAAGTACGCACCACACTGGTCAGTTTATTTACTTCTTACAATTTTTTTAAAATCCCAACTAGAAGTTACTTGTCAAAAAGATTTTGTCCAATCACTTATTTCTCTTATGACTTTCAAATCACCTCCATTTAATCTCTTTCTTGCCTGCCACACACACACACACACACACACACACACACACACACACACTAAAAATAGTGGGAACAGGTAGGAGAATTCAACAATTTACATTCTGAATCAGCATACTGATTATGCTTTATCCATCTTTAATATAAGAGACAAGGGGAAATTAGTTTCAATTTGGATCTATTATTTCATAAATCAGCATCATCTCCAAATAAATTATCTGATCAAAACTATTTCACAAAGTAAACACATTCAATTAGCCCCAGAAGGAATTTTTTTAATGAATGTGCCTCTATGCACATTTTATTCATTTTCTGTACTGTGAGCAGAACCTTTATCATTCAGTCAGTAAGCTAGAAATGAGCATTAGGTGAGTAGGTCACATAAATTCATTTTGTTAGTGCATAGGAGCAAAATAAGAAAAGTACAGTCAATTCTCAGCCAAACTTAACTTGCTTAAAATGTGCAGAATGGCCAGGCGCTAGTGACTCATGCCTGTAATCCTAGCTACTCAGGCGGCTGAGATCCAAGGATCATGGTTCCAAGCCAACCCCTGGCAGGAAATTCCATGAGACTCTTATCTGTAATTAATCACCCAAAAGCCAGAAGTGGCACCGTGGCTCAAGTGGTAGAGTGCTAGCTTTGAGCAAAAAAAGCTCAGGGACAGTGCCCAGGTTCTGAGTTCAAGCCCTAGGACGGGCACCAAAAAAAAACAAAAAAGTGTAGAATATCATCTTGGATTTTTAAATTAGCATTACATAAATAATGTTGTTATTGCATTCAATTTCTTTTAAATTTATATTCAAAGGACTACCACAGAAACTTTTAAAAAATATGTGTCATAGCAGTAGCCTGGTGCTGGTGGCTCACGCCTGTTATCCTAGCTACTCAGGAGGCTGAGATCTGAGGACTGTGGTTCAAAGCCCACCCAGGCAGGAAAGTCCAGGAGACTCTTACTCCAATAAACCACTCAGAAAACTGGTAGTGGCAATGTGGCTCAAGGGGTAGAGCGATCACCTTGAGCTGGAGAGCTGAGGGACAGGGCCCAGGCCCAGAGTTCAAGCCCCACAATTGACAGATAGATTAGATAGATAGATATAGATAGATAGATAGATAGATAGATAATATATATGTAGCCATATGACTATCTACGTCATAACCATAGTAATATCTGTATTAGTACATCATGATAGCTCTTATTTGTGAAAAGGCGTCCTAAAGGCAAACATAAACAGCTTGTGATAAGAAAAAAAAAATCACATTTTTAAAAATCTAAAACTAAACTTCACCTCATATTCTAAGGCACATTACCTCTGGATCCTTAGGGGACACACCAGTCATTCAAATCCTTAAAAGGATACAGGGTTTTCTCAGCAAAATTTCCCCTCTCCTACACAAATGACTAATTTAAGCAGATAATTCTGTTTGCACTAATAGTACATTTAGGATATTCTGTTATCTGTCACAGAAGCATCTTGAAAACAATCTAAAGTAATGTGCTTTTTTTAAGGTATAGGGAGGGAGGGAAGGAGAGAGGGAGGGAGGGAGGGAGGGAGAGAGAGAGAGAGTTCCTGACACAAACTCAGGGCCTTGTGCATCCTAGGGAACAATTTTCCCTCTTAGACACACCCTCAGCCCCCTACATATTTTCAATCCTGGTTTTCCAGCCTAGAATTCCTACTCTTACCGGTTCTGTATAATTTCCCTCACCTAAAAAAGCAAAATAATGATAGGATTTCTCTTAAAGCGTTCATTGAGAGGACCGAGTCCATGCTACCTATAAACTTTCTTAAAGACATACACATGAGTAAACTCCCAAAGCATATATATTTAATGAGGCGAGTACTGTTCAACTAGTGCAGAAATTCCCTTTAGTTTGTTTCTACTTAAACAAAACTAGCTGCTCATTAGGTCCAAAATACCAACGAATTTGACCTTTGCCAGAAAAGGGAGAGACCAGTAGCCAGGAAGATCGGGTGATCTTTGCCTGCATCTATTTTTAGGAGTGCTTTAATTATCCACACCCCTAGTGTTAACACTGGAAAAGAAACAAATGGCTGAAAGACATCTCACACCACACACACACACACACACACACACACACACACACACACACACACACACACACACACACACACACACACACAGAGTCACTCTACTATTTAGTGGGTTGGAGGGCCTGGCTCCCACTGCCCCAGCACTGCCAAAATAACAGTTAAGTTTTAAACCACGGTGATGATGATCAAAACATTTTAATCATTTTTCTCCCACCGCGAGTCCATCCTGACACCAGGCAGGCCACAAGTTCCAGAGGCCGAAGAGGAAATGACCCGTGCAGACTGTTTAGAATACCAGGTGGCAGGTTGAAAACATAACCAGGGGAGAAACTTGAATTAGGTAGCTGGTTCTCAATGGATCACTGCTTGACAGTGCCAAAATAAATAAATAAAGGGGCTGGGGAGGTGGCTCAGTGGTAGAGCGCTTGCCTTGCATGCCTGAGGCCCTGGGTTTGATTCCTCAGCACCACATAAGCAAAATGGAAAAAGCTGGAAGTGGTGCTGTGGCTCAAGTGGTAGAGCACTAGCCTTGAGCTGAAGAGCTGAGGGACAGCGCCCAGGCCCAGAGTTCAGGCCCCACGACTGGACCAAAAATAAAAATAATAACTAAATAAATAAAAACTTTTCCTTTTGAGTCAGACCCATGGGCAAGAACACATTACCTTGCGTTTCCACACCTAAAGATCTACTTGGATCCATAGGTCCCCTGAATAAAAGAGAGAAAACTGTCCCCCTGTCTTGGGGGCGAGAAAGGGATGATCATTCATCCCCTGGACGTGGGGAAAACGATCTGCTATTCATCATGGACCCATGGAAAAGGTGGAGGCTGCAATTACAACACTGCTGGAAAGAAACAGCTGGGTAATGGGTTTTTTTTTCCCCCTTCCAGATGACACTCTTGTCGGCTCCTAGAAGGTCTGGCGAGTGTGAGTGTGAGTGTGTGTGAGTGTGTGTGTGTGTGCACAATGCCCCCCACCCCACCCCACCCCCCCCCCCCGATGTGCCACCGGGCTCTTGCCTCGTTCCCGTGCGTGGCGCGTCCGTCCGTGGGGCGCGATCTTACCGGGAAGGGGAAGATGTTGTCGGCTCGGTTCAGGCTGTCGTCCATCCAGGACTTGGGGGCGAAGGCCGCGCTGGGGCGGGCGTACTTCTGGAGCGGCAGGTGGTTGCTGGCGAAGCTCTTCTTCAGGGGCGAGATGGAGGTGAGCGGCGCGATGCCGCCGCTGAGGCCGCGCCGGTGGTCGCGGCCTGGGGGGGCGCCGCCCCAGCCGCCGCCGCCGCCGCCGCCGCCGCCGCCGGGGCTCCAGGAGGAGGCCGGGGTGGGCGAGGGGCTCTGGTAGCTGCTCCAGGGCGAGGGCGGCTTGCTGAGGCCGCCGGGCAGGTGCGGCAGCTGGCCGAAGGCGGCGGGGCGGTGCGCGAAGGGCGGCGGCGGCGGCGGCGGCGGCGGCGGCGGGTGCGGGCTGGCCGGCGAGCGCCGCGGCGGCGGCGGCGGCGGGTGCGGGCCGTGGTGCGGCGGGAAGTGCGGGTGGTGCGCGTGCGGCTGGGACAGGGCCCCCAGCGGCTGCGGCGAGAAGCCGGCGCCGAAGCCCGGGCTCACGTGGTGGGGGAAGTTCTGGAACAGCAGGGCGCCGCTGCTGGCCGAGGGCGCCGCCGGCACGCCCGCGCCCGGGGGGAAGAAGCTGGCGTCCTCGCCGAGGATGGCGGCGGCGGCGGCGGAGGACGACGAGGAGGACGACGACGAGGAGGACGACGACGACGAGGACGAGGAGGGCGCCAGGGCCGCTGACCAGCTGCTGAAGCCCGGCAGCGACGCGGCGGCGCTGGAGGCCAGGGGCTGCGGGGAGGCGCCCAGCCCCGCCGCCGCCGCCGCCTCCTGGTAATCGAACCCCGTCAGCACCGGCGACTCCAGGCGGATCTTGTCCTGGCCGGGGCCGCCGTCCGACGGGCCGTCGCCGGGGCTGTCGTCCGCCTTGGCCTTCTCCGGGTCCGGCAGGGCCGCGCCGTCCGGGCCGGGGCCGGGGCCCGGCGACAGCGGCTGCTTCTCCAGCCCCGGCTCCGCGGGCTCCGGGGCCGGGCCCTTGGCCTTCTCCGACCCCAGGAGCTCATCCTGCAGGTTGTGCGCGGCGGGCGCCGGGAAGAGCCAGGCCGAGCCCGCGCCGCCCGCGCCCGCGCCCGCGCCCGCCGCGCTGCTGGCGAGGAAAGCGGCGGGGCCCGGGGCGGCGGCCTGGTGATGCGGCGCAGGCTGCAGGTGCGGATGGAACCGAACCGGAAACGCAGGCTTGTTCCCAGTATTGCTCTGTACCAGCACTCCGAACCCGTAATCCCCCATTTATTTCTTTTTAGGATCAGAATCCCACAATTTAAAAAAGAAAAAAAAAAAAAAAAGGTTAAAAAACAAGCCAACCTGATGTCTCCACGCCCCAATGGAAGTTGTTTTGTGAGAAATGTCTATTTTAGAGCTAACTCAGAAGATCTGAGTTTATCCCCTTAAGCAGCTCTGATTTGGAATAATGGGCTCTCTGAAAGAAAAAAAAAAATAATACGATTTAAAAAAAGGGCTCTGAAAACATTGACATGAATCCAATTGGGCTTTTTTTTTTTTTTTTGTAGGAGGGAATAAAAATGCAGAGAGTAAAAAAATCAAGTCTTTGGTTAGTAAAATAGGCGCTTTCTTTTTCCAAAGGAAAATGTACATGAATGACCCAAGAAAAAACACCACCAAACCCACAGCCTGTCAAGCATCTATGGATGTAGAAGAATAAGCATTGTTCAGAGTAAAAAATATATCTCTCTCTCTTTCTCTCTCTCTATATATAATTTAACAATCGCATATGGCCTTCTACAGCAGTTTAGATTCACATAAAAATTAGAAGAGGGCTAAGGGGAGAATAGGCTTTTCTTCTTCTTGGCAGCTCAGGTTTTTAAAAAAAAAAATCAGGAATAATTTAAGAACATTATATATTATATTATATATTTATATAGATAGATTATATTAGTTTATCTGGGGGAGGAGGGAAGCGGGGGACGGGCGGGCGGGGAGAAAAAGTCCTAGTTGCAGAAGAGAAAAACCAGCATTGACTACTGGAAGCAGGAAGGTGGCAGGGTTGGTTGCTCTGCTGTGGCTGGTCTCCGCTTCTGCAGTTTTGTAAGGGCGCAGTGTGGGCCTCTGGGGTGAATCCTGAGGATCGGGGTGCAGATCTTGCGGCGATTGCTATTCTTGGGGTCCCCCCAGGCTTCCTCTTCCCCCATCAAAGGGGGGTGGGTGGGTGGGTGGGTGGGGGGGGGGGGGAAAGGATGGGGATGGGGTGAGGGAGGGGGTGGTTAGGTGGGTGGTGGTGGCAGCAGAGACGACGACGCTGGGGGGGGTGGAGGGAGGTGGAGTGTCGCGATCAGCAGGACGGGAGGAGGGTGAGCTGGCAGCTTGGGGGTGCGGGGAGGACGGAGGGGGTGACCTGGAAGGTCCTGTGGTTTCTACCTCTTCCCCTCGTGGCGGCTCCGGGGTTTTTTTCCCCTCATGGGACCCAGGGTGGGGAGGGGGGGGGGGTTGGTTGGTTCAGTCCTCGCAGTTCGATTCTCCGCGGGGGGGGAGGGAGGGAGGGGGAGGGGAGGGATCGAAGGAGGAGGGGGGGGGAGAGAAAGCCCACTACCGTAGTTAGCCTCAAAGAGCAAGGCCTGGGCCCCGGCCGCGCCGGCTGGGCTCGCTCCGCGCCCCCGCCCCTGGGATCACCGTTTGGAACGGCAATTTAGCAGGGCTTTTGTTTCTCCTCACGGTTTCTAGGCCGGCGCCGGCGCTCGGACCCCCACGCCCGGTCCCCGCAGTCGTGATGGGCGGAACTCTCCCGTCTTCGGGCTCGTCGTCGTCTCCTTTTCTCCTGGTGGATCGCGGGGCTGCCGTTCCTTCTTCTTCCTCCTCCTCTTCTCCCTCTGCCGCCGCCGCCGCCGCCGCCGCCGCCGCCCGGTGTCGCTTCCCTCCCCCCCCGGGTCCCGCAGCCGCGGCTGAGTCCTTCTCCTCCGGACCGAGCCGAGTGAAATGACAACCAGCTGGGAAAGACCGAGAGGCACTTCCGGTTCCAAGAGGGCGGGGCGGCCGGCGGCCACGGTGAGCCCGCCCACCTGCCGCTGCGCCAATCAGCGAGGAGAATCCGGCCTCGGCCCCACCCACCTCCACCCTCCGCCCCTCCCACCCAGGCTTATAGTCCCGCCCAGGAAGGTCTCAAGAAATGCCCTTCGGAGACGCCCCTTCCGCCCGCGCCTCGCCCAGTGAGGCGGGCCGCCGGCCGCCGGGGGGGGGGGGGGAGCGCCGCGCGTCGCCATCTTGAGTGTGGGCAAAGGACTTTCCCCACCCCCCCCTCGCCGTTCATCTCCCGCAACTGGGCCTCGCGGGAAGCCCGTCTAGACCGGGTGCGTGGAACGAAATGGGCTCTTCGTACGCCGTGACGTGGAATCGAGGTCTCGGGGGTGGAGGGGGCCCGCCGTGAGAGGGCCTGGAAACCGGGGCGTTGCCCTCAGTAAAGATGGCGCCCCGGGCGTCACGTGCTCTGGCTGGAACTCCGCCCCGGAGGGATCTGGGAGGGGAGGAGGGTTTTTCCCAGCAGCCGTGCGGTGCCCAGAAGGTAGACGTTTGGGGGGAGGGGAGGGTCCCTTCCCGCACCCCCCCATACCCTGCCCCACCCGCCCACCCATCCTGTCTTCCCAGGGCGGCCTCTGGCCCTCCCATGGCTGCCCGTCGCCTCCAGCATCAACGCCCAACCCCAGCGTCCAGTGTGCAATCGACTCACCTTCCCTGCAAACAGACTCGGTGAACTTTTCACACACACACACACACACACACACCATGACTTGGGGAAGTCACTCCCAAAGCCACCAACCCACCCCTTCCATCTCCTCCCTCTAGCTCCCTCTCTCCTCCCTCCCCTCTGCTCCTCTCTCTGGTCCTGGGGCTCGAACTCAGGCTCCTGAGTACTCTCCCTGAGCTTTGTGGCAGCAGCGCCCTGCCAACTCCACTTCGGTCCTTTTGGGTGGTTCATGGGAGAGAAGAATCTCCTGGACTTTCCTTGCCCTCCATGATCCTCCCAGCTGGGCCTCCTGAGTAGATTGTGAGCCACTGACACCTGGCGTCTCTCAGTTCTCTTAGAAGGGACCATGGTGGGCTGGGAAGGTGGCTCAGTGGTAGAGCGCTTGCCTTGCATGCCTGAGGCCCTGGGTTCGATTCCTCAGCACCACGTAAGCAGAAAGCTGGAAGTGGCGCTGTGGCTCAAGTGGTAGAGCACTAGCCTTGAGCTGAAGAGCTGAGGGACAGCGCCCAGGCCCTGAGTTCAGGCCTGACCCCCCCCCCAAAAAAAAAAAAAAAAAAGATAAGGCCAGAAGGGCACATGGCCCTACATAGATCTCACTCTTCATTTACAATACATGGTGGTGCTGGCTCTGTCTCCTAGATCCGTGCTGGACTTAGAACTCCTTCAACAGCAAGTGAGCATTATAAGAGCAAAGATATCAGTGAATCTTGAAGACAGGCGTGCACACAAAGTCTTTTTCCTAAGGTAGTTTCAAGATTCAAATCTGGCCTTTTTTATTTTTTGTTGTTTTTTTGGATGGCTGTACTAAACTCAAACTCGGGGCCTAGGTACTGTCCCTTAGCCTTTTTCTGCTCAAGGCTGGTGCTCTACCCACTTGAGTCACAAATTCTTATTTCCAGCTTTTGAGTGGTTCATTGGAGATAAAGTTCTCACAGACTTTTCTGCCCAGGCTGACTTCAAATTGTGGTTCTCAGATCTCAGCTTCCTGAGTAGCTAGGATGACAGGCGTGAGCCACTAACTAGCACCTGGCTGGCCTTCCTTTTGTTATTTTTGGAGGTCACACCTGACCCTTTCATCGTATTAGCTATTTGTTTGTTGAAGATCTCCATGGCTCTTTTCTTCTTTCAACATTCCCACCCCTGGGACCCTCTCCCCGCTCCCCCCCACCAGAGCCCTGTTGTACACTTGGCAAGCTCCACAGTGATTGAATAAGTGTTTTCCTTCCTCAGGAAATGAAAGATGAAAAAAAGTCTGAACTGAGCCACAATAATGATAACAAAACTACACCGTGGGAGGGGGAAAAGGGGAGGGGAGGCAGTGAGAGTTTTTAAAACAGTCTTATAAAGGAAAATGACTTCCATGACATTTCTATAACCTGCCTTCAATGGACCACCTTCTGGAGCTCAGTGTGTCTATTCTCCACACAGCTATCATTGCTCACCTATGTGTGCCCGTAATAAAAGACTGTATTGTCTTCCATGATGTCATAAGCCTGAGTCTTACTTATGTCTGCAGTTCTCTATCCTTGGGCATACTGATCGAACCTTACTCTGTTGCCTTTTCTCCACATCTGGACATCCGTTGGGACTTAGCTGGTTCTGGCAGGTGTGATTTCCTCTGGAAGGATTTGCTGACTTGCCTTTGCCCTTGCTCTGATATTGTATGGATACTTCTTCCTTCTCTATTTCTGCTTCTGCTTCCTCCCCTTCCTCCTTCTTCATACTGGCTGTCTATGGGTTGACTTCTTAAGGCTGTGTGTAATTTGTCTTCTCATCCCCAGGGGAGAAAAGGCCCAGGGTCCTGTTTAATGAAGGAATGGATGGGTGTTATATGTAGATGCATAAGGATCTGGAAGCTTCCAATTCCTCTTGGTGACTAAAATGACAGCCATGGCCTGGAAGGGGAGGAGGGGGAACCAAACAGCCATGAGCTTGGATCCCAGCAGTACTTCCACTGCATCTGTGCACCCCTTTCCTTCCTCCTAGGTTAAACAAGAACCTGAACAGTATTTGTTCCTCCCTTTTGCGAGGTTTGAGATACAAATGATGGCTGTGTCCCAGCAAAAATGTTCACTCCTTATTAACATAGGAAGGGCAGAGAGCTACTTAGAAGTCTCTTTTGCCTAGAAGCAGGGGTCCAGCCACCTGCCTTGGTTTGAAGAAGGAGGACTCATGCCAGAAGCCATGCTTCCCATCAGTCTGATCTTCCAGGGTGAAATCCATTGCAGGATTGAGCTGGAAGAACCATCACTGAATGACAGGATTGATCATGAGATTCACAGGATTGATCTATCAGTCAGGCTGTTGCTTAGGTACCGGGAGCTAAGAAGAAAGAAGGAGGATCAATGTTCTTAGTTCCATTTCCTAAGAAATCCATGCCCTTCTCACAGCCCAGGGTTGCCCTCCCTTGCCAACATCCTGGTCTTTGGAAACTATCCCATGGTAACCATGACAACAATTCAGCAACTCCATTTTAGATGTCCAAAGGGATCTGCAGTCACATGGAATGAGACAGGAACACCACTGGCAGAAGAGAATTCTTCCAGTGAAGTACAGGTATGCTCACCAGGAAACTGTCAGGCTCTTGGCAAAAGCAAGGGCTGCCCATGCACAACGGTGCCCCCTGATTCTTAATTAGTTCAATTTAAACAGATTAAAAGAAGGTCAAAACAAAGCCAGGCGATGGTAGTAGCTCCTGCCTGTAATCCCAGCTCCTCAGGAGGCCGAGATCAGAGGATCGGGATTCGAAGCCAGCCTGTGCAGGAACATCTGTGAGACTCTGATCTCCAATGAACCACCCAAAAGTCAGAAGTAGAGCTGTGGCTCACGCATTTAGAGCTCTGATAGCCTTGAGTGAGAAAATTCAGGGACAGGGCCCAGGCCCTGAGTTCAAGCCCCAGTAGCCACGCCCATTTAGAAAAAGAAACCAAGACATAAGTCGAGAAAACTTCCTGTCCACAGCACATCCCACACATGGTAGATGCCGTAGGCTGAGAAATTCCTGGACTTCCACCGGGCTGTTGGGTGCCTAGCCCGTTTGGGGAAAAACAGCCACACCACACACCTGAACCTCTCTTCCAAGAAGCAGAACCTGCATGTCTCCATTACCAGCTTCCTTTGTTTTAATATTTATTTATTTTTTAAAGCCACAAACACCTTTTTAATCTTCCCAGT